GGGGTTTCTCTCTGTAATGCAGTGTGGAAGACCAGGGGGCAGCCAGCACCCCCACAGCCAGAGGACGAGCAACCACCACATGACAGAAGAGAGAGAAGGGGATGATGGTCTGTGAAAAGTGTGGGAAAAGATTGTCACAATATATCACACACTGGATATTAAGGATAACTTTCAAACATTATTCTTAAGTTTATCACATTACTGATTAATAACACTTTGGCATGTGAATACTCCTGTGAAATCACATTGAGGATACTTTATACACTTGTGCACTTGTTCATTGACCACTAGATGGCAGCATTTATGTTTTTTGCTTGGGAGATTGCTCTGCTGACAAGCTTTAGATTTACATGGCATCTGCTGTCTTGGTAACATCAGCATCGTAAAATTGCTTATTAGGCAGATGTTACAGAAACAGTAAACTGTCTAAGAATGTGGCGGGTGGTTTTGTTTAATTGTTCCCCATCATAGGCCCTGTAAGAGTCTCCATCGGAGAGAAATAATAACTTAGAATTTAGTTAAAATTATAAAAGTGACACATGACCATGCAGTACACAAATTGATGCTTGTAGTCAAGATTTTAAAAATAACCACTCACATATTGTGGAACAAGATTTTTCTTCGTTTTATACTAAGTTTGTTGTATTTGCCAGATACTCGTACCCAGGTAACAGAGGGGAGGAAATCAAAATGGACAGGCTTTTGAATCCAGAAAAGATTCAAAGGATGGAGGCGAAGACAGGCATCAGGGAAAAGTAACGGGGCTTTATTCCAAAGAAACAAAACGCAAAAGGCAAAAGGAAATGGACAGTAAGGGGTCAAAACTAGGCAAGGAGAGCTGGGGACCTAAGAGAGATGGTCATCTTGCCGTTCCACACGCCGACCCAGATGGGCCGCTTTAAACTGGGACCCAAGTCCCGCCATGCAGCAGGCGGCACCTCAGCACCAAACCAGCCCTGATCCCCAACAGGCTTGACTGTTTTATTGACTGTCTCCGACAGTTTCAACTTATCTGGGGATGAGGCTCACTATTTCAAAAATCCTTATCTGTTGATGTGGTATCTTCTGATTGGAAGCACGCTAACATAACACCCATATTCAAAGAAGGGAATATAAGTATTCCATCAGACTATAGGCAAATTATTTTAACTTGCATAACTGGAAAGGTAATGGAAGCTATAATCCAAGTGAAAATGGTAGATTGCCTATATTCAAATAACATTCTGAGGGGTAGCCAACATGGATTTAGAAGAGTTAGATCCTGTTTAACTAATCTGCTTGAGTTCTTTGAGGAAGCTACAAGAAAAATCGATCACAAAAAGGCCTATGATGTACTTAGATTTCCAGAAGGCCTTTCATGTTGTTCCCCACAAACGGCTCTTGCTTAAGCTCAATGCAGCAGGGATTTTAGGAACTATAATAGCTTAGATTGAAAACTGGTTAACAGACAGGAAGCAGTGGGTAGTTATTAGAGGCAGAATGTCACAGTAGGCCTGCGTTCATAGTGGGGTACCGCAGGGTTCAGTTTTGGGAACACTTATTCCTAATTTACATTAAAAATATTGACACCAATATACAGTCATTGCCAAAAATATTGGCACCCCTGCATTTATGTCAGAAAAGGCACCACTTCTCCCAGAAAATTGTTTCAATTTCAAATGCTTTGGTATTGTCAAGTTCATTGCTTTTATTGGCACTGGAAGAACAGAACTGGAAAAGCAGAGAAAAAAAAACAAATATGAGACATTCCACACAAAACATCAAAAATGGCCTGGAGAAAATTATTGGCACCTTATCAGAATTGTAAGAAATAATTGTATTTTAAACATGTGATGCTTCTTCCAACTCACCTGTAGCAATTAACAGGTGCTGGCAATATGGAAATTCCCACTTGCAACCAGTTAAAATGGGGAAATGTTGACTCAATCTTGTTTTTGGGTGACTGTGTGTACCACACTGAGCATGGAGAAAAGAATGAAGAGCAAAGAATTGTCTAAGGATTTGAGAAGCAAAATTATAGAAAAGCGTGGACAATCCCAAAGCTACAGGTCCATCTCCAGAGATCTTAATGTTCCTGTGTTCACTGTGCGCAACATGTACAGTAGGGCCCAGTGTGAAAAAACTTGGTCTCAGTTGTAGGTCATGTCTTACAGCAGGACAATGGCCAGCAATGAGTCCAGATCTAAATCCCATAAAGAACCTGCGGAGAGATCTGAAAACAGCATTTAGGAGAAGGAACCCTTCAAATCTGAGAGACTTGGAGAAGCTGGCAAAGGGATAGTGGTCCAAAATTCCAGTAGAGAGATGTAGAAGACTCATTGATTGTTACAGAAAGTGATTAAAACTTCTTCTTCTTAAGGGTGTGCTACCAAGTATTAACTTGAGGGTGCCAATAATTTTGTCCAGGCCATTTTTGACGTTTTGTGTGGAATGTCTCAGATTTGTTTTTTTTCCTCTGCTTTTTTGTGTTTTTCCAGTGCCAACAAGAAAAATAAATATGAGAATACCAAAGCATTTATAATTGCAACAATTTTCTGGGAGAAGTGGTGTGTTTAACATAAATGCAGGGGTGCCAATATTTTGGGCCATGACTGTATATAGTAAAACTTGATAAAATGCAGACGACACCAAGGTGAGTGGTGTAGCACATACTGAACCAGCAGCACAGAGGCTACAGTGGGATCTTGATTTAATTAGTGACCGGGCTGATTACAAGCCCCCTTACATGTGCATCACAGAATAACAATCCCTCTGAGACCAGGGGAAGGATCCCTCACACTTATTTCTTTTTTGCATTGGTGTTCTTTACAGTTTCTGTTTGTATTCTTATGCTCAGTACTGGCCTGTCACATGACGCATATCATTATGTTAATTAGAGATGGGCGATCCACGTTTTTTCAGTTCCGATCCGATTCCGATACACAACTGCCGATACCGATA